TATCAACATACGAAGCTATATCTGCTCGAGTCAGGTGCCTAGAAAGAACACCGAGAGACCTAGTGTATCAGCATTTCTGAGCTGGAGGGATGACAGATTTAGGAGAAGCAAGTTCACAGTGCAGAGACAGCAGTGATGTTAATTCTCTTAGCTGTGGGGTAACAATGTTGTTTAGAAGGAAGACTGAACTGTCTGTGCTTTCCCTGTGCTCTAATTTCAGAACACAGAGAGCAGAAACCAGTGGCCAAGCCTAAACAGGTGTGTATGCTCAAGGCCACTGCTTTAATGAGCACCACTGGCTCTTAATTTCTCTAACGGTGTCGAACTGACAGGTATGGGAGAAGGTTCAACCTGGCCCTACCAGCTTCACATCTTACATGAGGGGGACTCTAGAGAAGAATGTGTGCAGCATTACACTTTCACCAGCACCAACAGGGAAAAGAGAGTCAAGACACAACAAGAAGCCCCCGGGCACAGATCACCTCTGTCTACAGACCGGTTTCCTCATGCAGTCACCACTACTGAGAAGCAGCAGTCATACACCCCAAGGACTGAACCCATGAGCTGTGTACCACATCCAGCACGTTGCTCACTTGATGTTCTCTGTGGTCCCCTCAACAGTGCGGGCCAGTGCAGTTCCCTGGAAAGCAGTGGCATGAAGGTAATCAAAGGTAACGTCTGTCAAGTTGCTGTCGATTTCTTTCAACTCCTGAAGGATGACACCACGTTCCTTCTCGATCTGAGACTCCTCCAGTGCGCAGTTCTGCACAATGTCAGCCAGAAGCTCTACAACTGCAACACATTTCCTACATTAGTAATCCCATTGCCTGAGTGCTACCCAGTGCTGCTGACAGGAGAAAATACACACAGGCAGCAGGGGTACTGCAAGAGGACTGAGCAACAAACCAGACTGGGGAGCGGATGTAATGTAACAGAGATGAGTACTACCCATTCCCACAGCATCAGAGAGGGACAAACAACACTGTTTTAGCATGAAGTCTCCAAGTCAGCTTGCCAAGCATCACTGCCAGCTCATCTCTGCCAGTGGAAAGCAGGCAACAACCGCAGAAGGTGAAGCATGTCAGAAGCACAGTACTGTTGCAGAAACATGCTAAAGCCTTACAGAGAGCCTGCGACATCTACAGCACAGCCCACATCTATAGTAGGGCCCACAGCTCTTACTCAAGTCACCATGTCTAGACAAAACTGACCCAAAGAGGAGTCTGCACATGGTAGTACAGAGCACAAGCAACACCCACAACAGCGGCACTGAGCGCTCCTGACACAGTAGCTGTCACTGACCTCGGCTTCTCAGGTCCAGAAAACAACCACAGGCTACTGACACACCCCCCCCTCCTGGCAATATAGTGCAGCCTGACTAACAAGAACTTTGCAAAAACTGGTTTTAGGAACACATGAACTTGGAGCCTTGAAGCACCATGTCATGGCAGCGCTCTCTTCAACTACAAACCCAAACCTCCAATTTACTGCTCAGCTACAACTTCATTCCCTGGTCTGTTGTTAGAAAGGATGCTGGTAGGAGAGAAACACAAGCACACATGCTTGCTTCATCCTTAGCCTCTGAATCAGACTTTGCCCACTGGCTATCCTACCTTTAGGCATGTCCTTGGACAAGGCTTTTATGTAATAGGCAGTCTGCTCACGCGAGGTGTAACCATTCAGGTGAGCACCCATACTCTCCACCTCCTTCTCAAAGGCAGCGCCAGGACGATTCTTTGTGCCCTGCAAGAAAACAGATAAACACAATTATGAAATGAATAAATTTCCCTCTCGGGCAGAACTAAAGCAAGGAAAAGAAAAATAAAGACCTAAACCAATAAAACCTGTCATATGATTCATAAAAGCCAAGAGCAAGCGCAGAAAGCAAGAGATTTATAACTTGGCTTATTTACTCTAGCTAAAGGGTGGTTGAAGTGTATTTTGAAAGACCAACAAAAACCCAGCAGGGAAGAAGATCATCTATGCTAAGAGACAACAATGGTTGAAGTAGAAGAAAACCAAGAACAAGCCTAAACCAAAAATAAGCAAGTTTCTAGCTATCCTCACAGCACCATTCAGAAGCCAGAATAAGAGCAGAAAACTACTTCTAATACAAAGCTCATCTCTTAAGAAGCAAGCCAGATGCTGCAGTTGCCTATGATGGCACAGGCTGGACTCGAGTCAGCAAGTCCCAGGCTTAGACACCTTCTGCTCTAGAGCTGTTCAGCAGACACTTACATTATTAGAAAAGTAAGAGCTGTAGCCTCTAAACTTTGCTGGCCCACTAAGAACACTAAAGAAGAAAAAAAAAGGCTACAGGAAATGATGCTTTAAGCTCTGCCTGCTAACTTGAAGAAATACGCTTCAAAATGTAATCCTGTATGTGTGCTACACAGTGACTGGGATAGTCAGGAACTGGAACCACAGTGTCAGAGACTCAGTCTCACAGGTTAACAGGTACAAACTCGAACATAGCAAGTTCCATCTAAACATGAAGAGGAACTTCTTTGAGAGTAGCAGAGCACTGGAACAGGCTGCCCAGAGAGGCGGCTGAAGTCTCTGACTCTGGGGACATTCAAAACCTGCCTGGACGCCATCCTGTGCAACCTGCTGTAGGTGAAACTGCTCTGGCAGGGCGGTTGGGCTACATAATCTCCAGAGGTCCCTTCCAACCCTGACCATTCTGTGAAATACCAACTAGTAAATACGAGTTGCTTTAACTCATGCACGCTTGCAAGTTGCCATGTATGCGAAGAGCACCAGATAGACTAGGTGCCTTTTGAAGTTTATTTTTATACTATGTGCAAAGTATCAGGGACTCAGACGACCTGATTTACACTCTCTTAGCAGCTACAGCCTCTGAAGTGAGAGCACAATATATAAGTGAATATTTAGAACAGCTCTCCATGCAATCCTGTGCCAGACCTAGCATACCTCCTTACCTTAAAGGCCAGGTGTTCCAGGAAGTAACCAGCTCCATTATTCTTCTCGTTTTCATGGCGGCTCCCCACCCCGATCCACACGCCCACCTGACGGCAAAAGCATCAGCTACACATATTAGAAAACAAAACATACAGCATGCTCAAGCCTCATCCCACAAATATAACAGCAGGGACAAGAAGCATCGTCCCTAGACAATGCACTAGTAGCACCAAAATAAGAACAATCACCAGACACTGCTTCCCATACACGTTTTTGGCTTTTTATCTAGCAGCTTTGCAAAAGCCTCATTTGGCCAGAGGTATGACTACTACTGGTCACTTACTGCTTACGCAAAAACTGTAAGGCTGAGAAAACTTGTAGAGCATAAAAACTTTAGAGCATGAAAGCTTAACTACAGACTTATACAAAACCAGGCTACGGCTTCTTCTGCCAAAATCTTCAGCTCAGATAGGAGTTTGTCACTTTTGGAATACCAGCTACAGACTAGGCAAGGCTGACTGTTTCAAGTAAGCCCTTAACCTATCTTAAACTTACCGTACACGTTGGCTGGTTAGACTCCTCTGAAGCTACACGGAGACCATTGTCCAGAGTGGTGACTTGGGTCTCAGGGATATTCTGGAGTGTCTGGGCATAGGTGGCAGCACCTCGGTTCCTTGTCAAAGTCAATAAAGCTGCCTAAAGAAAAAATAAATGCTACCATCACCACTAAAAAACAACTCCCTTCTTGCAGGGCAGACCTCCAAAACACAGACTACTGGGCACATAGCTGACCAAAGCTAGGCCAAACAAACTCTTTCGTGTTTATATTGGGGAGTTCCTGCTGCATACTGCTCGTTAACCGGAAAGCTGGAAACACTCCACAGCTCCAGAGGTTTCACGAAGGTCGAAAATCCCAGTGAGGAGTCCCATGAACTGGTTAGAACCCGGTACCGGGGCGGGGGAGGGGAGCGGACAGCAGGTCCCCTGCAAGCCCCGCAAAGG